CCTGCCATGTCGCACAACCTGCCAGGCCAGGTCGTGCAGGTTCAAATATTATCCCTTCATTGGACACTCGTGTCGGGTTGTACGACCATGCAGGTAAATTCCTGATAATCCAAATCTGAAATTAATTTTCATAATATCTGAAATTGGATTTATTAGTCACAAGTCGTATAGTATATAAAAATGTATGGAAAATTTGTTGTGGAACTTATCTGGATATACACGTACACTGCGATATGTCTTCTAATATCACATCTCTCGAATCCCTTTCCATTCCCAGAGAAGGTGTCAATGTTTCGGAACTAGACCCATGCTTGTTATGCAACCAAGAACTTTTTTTGCATGAAATAAAAATCCCGATTACCATACTCATCTGCGGTCATATATATCATCGCGATTGTATCGAAAAAAACATTCAATATGTCCAAGACCTGATTGCAAGAAGGAGGTAAAAACTACGGTTGAGAGCACACCTGGAAGTCCAAATACCACTGATCCAATGAATATACCTCCCGCATTATTTAGTGATTTTTCAATATTTAAAGATACGTCCCAGAAAAAGCGTGTTGGCAAACCCACCAGTAAACTATCCAGTAAGAAAGCGAAGAAGCAAGTTTCAAAGGAAAATTCTCCTACATTACAAAGATTAATTAAAGAATTGAGAACCAATGTTCCAGAGAAAACTTTGCCGACTGAACCAATATCTGAATCGAATGAAAACTCCATCAATTTTCTAGCTTTTGTATCAAAATATAATCAATGCCGAAGAAACTAGTAAAAAAACGATACAAGAAGTTATTTGTCAATATTTCTATTTTGGGAAAGCACTCGAGGGACGATTCAATCACTGCAGAAAAAACAATCCTAAACGTACGGCTCAAGGGTTAGTTAATAATAGTAGCACTTCAGATTCTAATGACAATGATTCTAATTCCGAAGGTTCTTCAAGTGGATCCGAAGCTGAGATCAATGTCAATATAAGCTGAGAAAAAAAGTAAAACAAAAGAACGAGCGAAGCCCACTTATTCTAGTTCTGAGAAAAATCAGTATAAACAAACGCGATTACAACAAATCATGGGAAAAATGATGGAGAAAAAGCTTAACGAAATGCTTGAAAATAAATTGCCCTTACTACTATTTGGTAATACTGCGAAGCATCGTTGAGTGAACTTTAATTTAAACACATTTACTATATGTTTGTAGAAACTTCGAGGCTTAGCCTTTCAGTTCTACCAGTCGTTGGTATAATAATAATCCTTATCGCATAGCTTCATAAATGTTTCGCCGCCAATGATATTTTGTAATTAGAAACGGGGTTCATTACCGTATATTAAGTCATTGTGGTTAACTCTTCGCGTGTGCAGCTATTCTTCTTGTTTCTTTAATCCTTGCAAAATCTCTTGGTGCCAAGTTAGTCGCATTGTAATAAAACTGATCTTGAGCATGTTTCATACGTGTGCCACCTGGCCGATAAAGCCATGCAAATACTACATTCTCAATCACGTTAACTGCATTGATGCGTTTTTTCCATAGATGGAGTGTTCGCTGGATAATAGTTGCTGCTCGATTTTTTAATGCGTTTATACAAAATGTGCCACTTCCATTCTAAATGCAAGTGATTTGGAGATAAGCTCCCCTCGGGAGCCTATATATTCATTTCTGGTTAATACGAAATACAAAATTTTGCCAATCATACTTTCTACAAATATCATATCCAGTTATTAATAAACATCTACGTATATATTTGGGTGGATGATGTTTTGCGAACCGTAACCACGATTTTCCGGTGTTTTCAAATTTTGAATATACTGTAAACCATATTCAGTTAACTGGTTTCGGGTGTATTTGTAGTCTGGAAAACTGGTCATATCTACTTGTGGATTTTAATAACGACTTTTTTATTTAATTGTTGGTTAGCTTCGGCAAACTCGAACTTGAATGACGACACAATCACAAATGCGTCGCCACTTGGAGTGGTTACCACATCAAATAACGATATTTTTTTTTGGCCATCTCAAATGACGACATAATAATAACGTAATCCCATCGTATCCCAATATTGATATCTGGGATGGTTGTAATCCGGTCAAAAAACTATCTCTGGAAGAGCTTAAAATGGCTATATAGGAGTGTTAAAAATGGTATGGGATAGTTATAGTCTATATAGACTACAACTATCCCAAATATACCACTGGTTATAGTGTTTTGCTAGGTAATGCTGCTATTACCCTACAGCTCCATAGGCATTGATCTTCTGGATCTTCTTGGTATGTGTTGTGGTCCCTTGTAGTGAAAAGGTGGTCGTCTGGATTCAGGCCTTTGAGTAAGTTTCGCTTGCATTTGCTTCACTTTCCCCATTCTACTGGTTCTCAATCTATGACACAGTGGGTTTCTTGGATTTCACAGGTAACTTGCCGCTTTTTGTGAGATTGGATAACATAAGGTCCTTCTAGCTGATAGATTCCTTTCGCTGAGTGTTTTTCTTCATAAGCAGATAGTGCATTTCTGGCTATTTTGTCTTCTTCAGGTGTATCGGCAAACATCTTCCTCCATGCCTTTGATTGTTGGTCATAGTGTGGGTCTCTCCTTCACTACTTGGTCACCTTCCAGTTTGAGTGGTAATTCGTCCAATCTCTGCCTACGTTTCCGTGTCTCTGTTGTAGTTGGGCTTTAATTCAGTGCCAGGTACATACATATCCATATCATATGCTCCCCTATTTCTTGATAGTTTAATCCATGCTGATAGAATGCTGCACAGCTATCACTGTAGGCTGTATATTTGTAACCATTGTATTTTAGCTTCACTTCTATTAAACTATTTATCTGACTCACGATAACTTGAACGTTGACTTGGTTCTAGTTGAGAAAAATTTACAAAGTCTTGCTCTTCATCTAATCTTGGTCAGCATTTATGACACAGCTCTCAATCGTCTTCCATGTCATCTGGTACATAAGTGGCCATGCATCAATAGTACTTGGGTCCATTCATACATTTCCATTCTAAATGTGGGTCGTCTACTTCCATAGCGTCTATAACATTTACCGGTCAGACATGTGGTAGTTGGTTCTTTTCTACTAAAGGTACAGCTTCTCTGGTTCCAATAGATAACTGGCTAGCGATAAGCAAATCGACAACTAATAAATGTCGATTAAGGACACGTGTTCTTATCTTAAACCTATAAACTTTTTTCCTATAATAATCTGTACATGCATATGTAATGCGTTTGTTAAATAAAGAGATTCTTTCTTTGTACTGACTGGTATGCTGACAAACATCAAAAAAGAAGCCTTTGATAACTCTGGAATAATGGCCAATTTTTGTTATTGTCTATCGACCAATTATTTCCACGTTCTTATTCGAATCTTCTTCTTATTCATAGTATTTTTCTAAATGTGCGTTTCTACTGTTTGGTGATACGGGTACTTTATTAGGTGCAGTAATACAAAGGCTGGTTATTTTATCGGTAAACAACCGATTATAGCACGAGTATGATTTGTAATTGTGACAAAAAACAAAGATTCTTTTACAATGCGATTCCATTGTAACATAGTATAACGAGCTTTGACTGTATGTAGCGTAAAACGTGAATTAAATTTCTAGGAAATTCAGACTCGCATACAAAACGTATTACTTACATGCGCAAATTCCAATTATGTGTTCATTTGTAAGCAAGACTAAAATAATTGTGCCATGCATTGTCCTGACTATTCGACATAGTCAGCGAATACGTTGAAAGGCTCTGCTGAATGTCCCGCAATATTTAGCCTGGTTTTACTTTAATTAAATCTTGTGTCTGATAATTAATTGGCTATTAATAGCAGGAGTTGAGAGAACATTCTGTCCAAAGTAAAAAAACCAAGGAGAAGGCTTGGCAGCCCGAAAAGGCAATTGCAAAAACCAGAAACTTGTATTTTCTATTTATCAGATAGTAATAGATGCTAATAATACCGACAGCATCAAATTAATATCGAGTTCAATTACTTGCCAAGCGTTTAAGCCTTTTATGGATAGCGTTGACTAAAACTTCATTCATCATGTCTACTTTTGGTCACAATATCCTTTAATTAAACGGGCCATCCATGACTAATAAAGTTTTTTTGATAACCTACCAATAATATTAATTGCAGAATGTAATTAATCGAATGTTTCCTATTATGGTAGTCTAAATCATCACGCGAACACACTTCTATTGTAGAATTCCGTGTTCGCCTGGTAGGGCCAGTGATAACTAGCAAAGGCGTGCCCTTGTAGATCCGAGATGCGTGCCATTTTCGGATGCAATAAGAATAAGAAACAGCAGTTGGTAACATTAACAGTAACAGTAACAATGGTAATAATAAACTGTATATTGATTAAACGGGTTATGCTATGATACAATCACATCGTATTGACCCTTTCCCTTTGTCGATACAATTTCGTATAAATGTTCGTAACAAAAATCTCCTAGATTATATAACTAAAGCTTGTTATACAATACACAATTGGTTTACTCCTGTTTCACCACGCATTAATAAACATGCGAATTGTTCATAATTCCGCAAAGGCTGGCCTCTTTCATTCATAGTCAAGAGCATTTCCTCCACATATATTATTAGAGCGAACATTCATCTTTCAGTAGACTTTTACTTCGTTGCGGGTCAACGTCCACATTTGCCGTAGCTGCTATACATATATATACTTTGGCATTTCGAAGGAAAACCTACCGAAAGCCCAGTAATAGTAGCGTTATTTGTTGTACATAGACTGCAAGTAATAGCAACACAAAAGTATTGATATCCCTCCGTGACCTTGCCCATAGCTCTTTATTCTTTCACCCTCACGAGTCGCTCTTGAATTTGGTAAAACCGCAGGACACTAGTTTTACCAGCCCACTAGACTCAAGCAAGAGGATATACTCTTTCTCCCTCTAAACAACCATATTACATTCATTTCTTCATCCTTCTCTCCCTCTCCCTCTCTCTACCTCCCTCTCTCTCACACACAACTTCCTAGATCCAACGAAATGAAATCCTGCAAGCTATTAACCGTAATTCTATTAACCCTTTTCATATACACACAATATTCTGCCGCAACACCTCATCCGGATGGCACACCCTATTGCAAGGATGCAGAGTATTCGCCAGATCCTCACCCCAAAATTTTTGTCCCATGCCCAATGGAAACCACGCCTCCAGTCCAACGACGACAAAATACCGCAAATGCAACAAATATGTTTCAAATAACACTAACGTGTCTCGATCCTGATAAAGTTAAATGTAACAAAGTCCAACGCGCATTCAATCTTGCGGGCCAGATATTGACCGGATCATTGATCTTAACCGAACCGGTTACTGTCAACGCGACATATACCAACTTTTGTACAAGCTTTAATGATTGTCCTACTAACGGGTTCTTGACACTTGGTGAGTAGTGAACGGGTTAATCTAAGCAATTGACTAGTTCTTGAGTTATCGCGTTGGATGGAAACTAACTATCCCCGATTTTCTCCCAAAAACTAGGTGGTGCCGCTCCCGCCCGTACAATTCCGCTCAAAGACAGCGACGGCAAAACTCGCTTTTTCCCTCAATCTCTAGTGAAACAGATCAACTCGCAAAACCATCCACAGTTCTCCCAATTTGATATCTTGGCCATGTTCAATTCGGTGGCTAATTTTTGGTTTGAAGATGACAACGTTCCGATAAGGCAGGACCAATCTGACTTTTCTTTTGTTATTTTGCACGAACTGGTTCATGGACTCGGATTCACATCGTCGTGGGATGATTACATTAATCAAGTACCAGAAGCATTAACACCTGATGTGTCCCCAGTTAGTGGAGGAGCTGGCACATCATTCCAGTTTGCGGAATTTGCCTTTGACAAGTTCATGGTTCTCACGTCTACAGGACAGAAAATGTCGGATATTACAGACCAATTAAATGGATTTTCTAACGGTGCCGGAGCACAGATTCGGGATATAAATGCTTTTGCGAGCGCGTTTGTTACGAGTCCGCAATATCAAGTCGCAAAAAATACGTTTAAATTTGCTATCACCAAAGGAGCTATGAGCTTTCTTCCACAGGGAGAGACCAACATAAATAACGCCGTCACCTTAGAAACTAGTTTGAATCCTTATCAACAAGGGTCTAGTATAAGCCATGTAGACTTTGCCACTTTCTCAAAGACCCCCGATTTCTTGATGAGGTTCTTGGCAGACAGAGGAGTTTCTCTTGGAGATGCTATTGTAAAAAATGGAAACTTTAGTGGTGGAGCTGTTGGACCGAAATTGCTTAAAGTTTTGGAAAGTCTGGGGTGAGTATCAAGCACCAAGGATATATGTAGGGAGAGAACAAAAATGTGATAAATATACTTGCACCCTGTCTCACCCACTAATATGAAACATTCCGATAATTTGTTAGTTATGCGACTCAAACAAATCCAAACCCAATCAGACCAGCTACGAGTTCAGGTTCAACATCATCTTCCTCGGCTTCATCACGGTATTCCTCCATTTCTACTACTGGTGTGTTTCTGGTAGCGGGCATGTTCTTAGCTATTGTCATGGGTCAAAAATAATCCACTGTAAAATATATACGCAAATCATAAAGAAGGACGTATTGTAAGATACTAATACAATTGTATTTAGTGGATAGACAAAAGATCTATCTTGTGTAAAGTGTGGGGAAGGTTGAACATTGGATTTTATTCAAAATTTACAAATATATGGATTAAAGAGAAGCTGGCATTATGCAATTGGAATAAAAATAGAATTTTTTGGTTAATTTATCCATTGACGAACAAGCTTATGCGTGAGAGGCGTAGGGAGAGAGGAGATTATGGCTAAAACAGATTCACAACAATTTTTGATTTATATAGACTTTTAGACCGTAAATAAACTAACTACTCTGTGCACGTTCTGGTGCGAATCAGTCGGCAGCCATTAATACTAGCTAGTATTAGTCAAAAGGGGGAGGGGTCCCAATTCCAAGGCTGCGGACTTGTAAATTCATAGAATGTACGTAGACTGGGATCGTGTCAGCCTAATCCACGGTTTTCAGTGTGTCCTCATGCAGTATATTTCATACACCTACATAATGCAAAACGGATAAATCGCTAAACTATAAATATATGCTACCCTTCTCAAACTTACCTCATGTCCGTATGCGTTGCCTTACAAGCCAAACTGCAATATTTCGCACCACATTGCTTACAGTTGTACTTTGACAAAAACCCACACACTGAACAAAATTTTTTTGGAGGAAACTTTGAAGGCGAAGCAGCAGCTGTTAAATATGTCGGCATGTCTTCTGAAGCTAGTTCTACCCTCGACTCGTCGATTAATGTCTTTAAAGACTTTTTGATATACAGTTGGCGGAGAATTTCTTTCTTACTTCGTAGGCGTGGTTTCTTGTCTGATTCGCAAATTCAGGCATTGTAATTTGCTCCAAGAGTACAAAACTCCAATATACAAATCGGAAAACAATGACAACATACTGGCTATCGCCCCGTCTCGATCACCCACTTCTGACGTCCTTCTTGGCTTAATAACTGTTCCAAGAAGCTCTAACTCGGGTACTTCCTGGTAGTTGTCACGTTCGAGACCGTCGAGACGGCGCTTTAGACTCTGCCGTCTAGTATCTTCGTCTATAATACCTGTAAATAGGTTCTATCCATGTTACCACTTTTCCGTAATTAAAGAAAGAGGGAAATTAGATAAATAGGTAGATCACCTCCAGGTCGACGATCTATTTTTCTTGACATGAAGGAACAAAAACATTATTACTGTTGGGGACGGCATTTTTCTAGATTATTTGATTGACCAATAGAATGTAGTCTTAATTTCATGAGCGTCTGCATACATTTGTGTAGCGGAACTTGGCATCTTTTCGTTTGGTTTTACGATTTTTAATTCAGCATATAAAATAGACGTTCACTTGTTTATTCGCTAGCTTGTAAAAAGAAGACATGGGGGCAGCGGATAGTAAGCTAGCTTTCCGGAAAGGGGTATTTAGATTGTTTGAAGAAAGGGTATGTTATAGTTGACATTGTAATATCCAAAAATATCGTATATAGTATTTTCCAGTTTAACAATAGCATGCCTATAAAATTAAATGGTTTATAGAATATTCCTGCCGACGATGAATACTGGTTGCAGGTGTGTTGTAGAGTTTTGTAATATAAAAAAGGTGTGGGGGGCTGCTGTCAATTTGCACATATGCGTCTAAATGACATTGACGGCACAATGCAGTTCTGGCTGTTACCCGATACTGCCGACGACGTGTTTTCTCTAATTGGAGCATCGGATATAAGGCGTGTACGAGATAAAGCAAGAGAGAATTTAGAAACTCTTATTCGCAAGGTTGGTTAGGAAATCTCTCTTCTCTTGCTCATTAAATGATTTCAGACTTGAGAAAAAAACTATTCGGTATTAATCACTCGAGTTTTATCCATGAACAGCTTATCGCTCGTATGATCGAGATTGTCAGAGCGCCCGATTTTCCATCACCGCAGAATTCTACTCAGCAACTTTTAAATTGCATTCGTGTATTGACGCGGCTTATGCCATTTATATACGAGGATAAAAATCTGGATGAATGGGAGGAGAGACTGTTCTGGTCGACTCCTATGGATGTGAAAGATGTGAGGAAAAGTATTTCAGAGACAGAGTCGGAGAGGACTAGTAATGATGCAGGTGTTACGACGACAACAACACCAACAACAACAACTGCTACTATTACTATTACTGCTGCTAGTCCTCCTCCCACGACGGATCAAACATTCTCGAACCAGGTAAACTGTCTTTATTGTCTACAAGACACTATATATACTGTGCAAATTGTCAGATTTTTAGTAGTTGCATTCAGGTGTTCTTGAAAAATTGTAGTTAGATTTGCCAGATAATTGCTATGGCTTGGGAAGTGAATAACGCGCAGGATTAGTGCTTGATACGTGTATGGGACTGTGAAGAATGTATATTATTACAAGAGGTCGATGAGGGGGATGGGCAAGGGTAAGCGATAGGACGTGCAGAAGATGGGACAGTGTTGAGACGAAAACATAACGCAAACTAGTTTTTAGAACAGTAATATCTGTCCACGTCTTGACTAACCGGAATCTTGCTTTTTAAGGCTGCAAGTCCACCAGCGGAATCGCCCAAGTTTCTTGGTGAACTGTTACTATCAACGATCGTAGAGATTTTGTTCATGTCTGGTTTTACCATTCCTACAATACCGGGGAACAACTCGCGAATAAATTACGTAATCTGGTAAGCTGTTGTTGTTGACATGTTCGATGTTCGTGTATACAATCGATTAAACGAATATGCTAACGTTAATGGCTAAACTATAAGGGAAACGGGAGTTGGGTCGAATATGCCAATTGGTTCAACGAAAGAATTGGATTCGAATAAAACCGAATCTTTGAGGTTGCTATTAAGCCTGTTCTCCAAGTCGATGTATATTGGTGGAGGTTAGTATTACTTGGCTTGATACATGTAGGATTATTCGATTGACTCGTCTTTTATTAATCCCAATCTTTTAATTACACTTCTACAATAAGTAACTTACATGACGAAAGAGAACAAGTTTATCAATCATATGGTTCTCAAGATTGAGCGCAAGGTAGTCTTGGCTTTACTCTGTAGTTTGTTAAACACTGCCATCAAATACAATCCAACTGGATGGGGGATACCGTACAATCACATGGTGTTTGTTGATGGCCGAGAGATGCTTGTAACTCTCTGTCTGCAGGTGCTCCTGGTCTTGCAGGATTATAGATCGGTCGAACAAAGAGTTAATGCAAATGCGGAAGCTCGTCGTGCGCTTTATCGGAATGCCGGTCCTAATAATGGGCAGAACGTTAGCAATAATGTTGCTCCTAGTCCATTATCATCGACTTCACAAGTTAGCACAGCAACAAAGAGTGAGGCTACTGAAGATAATAACAGAGTCGATACAGCTGAAGTTGCCAAAGTTGATACGCCAAATGAACAGAAGAAACATTTGCCCGCTTTTGATAACGCGTTCAGGCATTACACGTCGAAATTGCATAGAAATCAAGACTTTCAATTTCTGATGGATGGTATCTACCGGATACTGAGTAATCCTATGCAAGTAAGTGGAGGGGGGAAACGATAAAGCGTCGCGACGTGTATGTTTTGTTCATTTGGTAGCCGTGCGAGGATTTAGAACGGATAATAGCATCAATTGTATGATGTAATAGTGATAATTTCATATTATATATAAAGGCCAACAATACGTATCTCCCCGGGTCAACGAAACAAGTTCGATGCCATTTGGAGATGTTGATGCTATTTTGGAAATTACTGGAAATAAACAAGGTAATTCGATGGTTGTATACACATACACCTGGGGCAAACGGTGTTGGGGATATTGACTTTAGAAGAGAATTACAAATGTGTCTTTCCTGGTGAATTAGATATATTGACTACATCCTATCAACCATTTTGTCTTTATTGCAGCGTTTTCGTGCGTATCTTCTGGAAACAGATAGAGTGCTTGATATGTTGGTTGTATTATTGTACTATTCTTTAGAAAATAAGAATGATGAGGGTTAGTGACAATATGCGTAATTGTCTTTGTCCAATACACAGCTATTTTATAATGCTAACTGTTAATTCATTCCTCCTCTACCACACATATGACCTTTTATTAAGCACAAGCAGGCCTAGTTCGAATGTGCGCATTTATTCTACAAGCTATATCGTCAGAGCGTGAGTTTGGAATAAGATTGAACAAATCCTTTGAGCGTCATGGATCGCTTCCGGGAAACGTGCGCATACCAGCGTTTCATGGGACGTATGCTGATTTTATGATTATAGTAAGTTAAACAATAATGACGATGCATTAGTTGTTCTTTTGTTGATGACAGCCAATGTGTTTTCATGGCTAACGTGTATACTTTTTTGTTGCTCTAGTCAATACAAGCACTCGTCACAACTACGCATGGTTCACTAAGTCTAATTTATCCAGCACTGATAATTACAATTTCAAACGTGTCGCCTTATCTAAAGAACTTGTCGGTATTGTCATCGAACAAGCTAGTACAACTATTTTCTTCATTTACCACTCCGAGTTTTCTATTGGCGGAAGAGGGCAATCATTTATTGGCCGCGTATATATTAGAGGCTTTTAACAATATTATTCAATACCAATTCTCAGGTTAGTTTAATAGTGATAATTGTTACATTACTGAGATTGATTTTGGTATTTCCGAAATTGCATAATTTCATGCTGTTAACCGTTCACCATTTGCTTCAAACAGACAACCCAAATTTGGTATACGCAATGGTCAGAAACCACAGAAAATTCGAAGACTTCTCAAAATTCACCCTTTCCAAAGGCCTTTCAGACATCAAAAAACTTCAAATCGCAAGGGAAGAACGCAGACGACAAATACTACCCACTACACCTAAATCGCCCACCAGTCCAAAGCGGCCAGCCTCCACTTCAGCATCTAATCGCAACAAAATCAGTAACCAAGAAGATATCAATGAGCAGACAGAGCTATTACATTCTGAGAGAAACTCTGATGATACGGAAAGGAAAGCGAGTGAGACAGGAGATTGCAACGAAGGAGAGATGTCTGAGAAGGCACGAGGGAAGTTGCCCGAAGGAGTGAGTCTGCCCGAAAGGGGGCAGAATGGAGAACGGAGTACGGAGAGAGAAGCTGTAGGAAAGGATGCAGAGAATGACAGGGAGAAGAATTTAGATAAGGACGAAAAGATTGAGGGGAAGATTGAGGGGAAGATTGAGAGGATTGACGGAAAGGCTGAAGGGGAAGTTGAGGGGAAGGCGGATAAGAAAGCTGATGTGGTGATAACTCCATTTGCTGTTGGCAAGTCTGGATTTATTCCGACCGAGGATTGGGTGAGTATAATTGAAAATGCTAATTATGTAGAATTAATAACAACAATTGCACGATGACAAAGCCCATTAAATCTCTTGCCAATTGCCTATATGCTTAGGTCTCTTCGTGGCACACTAATTTGCCGATAGGAAATATTTTAATCCTCCTTGCTGATTTGGTTCCAAAAGTTCAACAATATTGCCTGACAAAGTCCTTGATATCTGACTATGAAGTCCTCGACTTTCTCCGTAAAATAACTCTAGTTGGCATTCTTCCACCGCCTCAACCAATCTATACCCGTCGATTTCAATGGTCAGAAGCTAGTGTTGTGTGGTTTTCAAGTGTGTTGTGGGGTCAGGTATATATTGCTGCAAATAGTCATCTAGGAGTTTATAATGGAACGCATGTGAACTTGTTTTCTGTGAAGAGTGATGTGAAAGAAGAGAGTAAGAAAGATGTTGGAAAAGGTAAGAGAGTAAACGGACCTGATGTGGATGGAATACCAACACCAACAACACCAACATTAACATTAACACCAACACCAACAATACCAGTACCACCAACGCCAGCACCGACGCCAATACCATCGCAAACACCAACACCAACGCCAACGCCAACACCAACACCAACACCAACACCAACGCCAACACCAGCACCAACACAAATACAAACGCCAGAATCAACACTACAGGATGCTGTTGCAAGTGATGATATTAATGCTACTGCGACAGCCATTTCTACCGCAAAATGATCAATATTGTAAATTTTCCTTTCTAGCATATAATGAAATAAATTAAAGCATATATTTCTGTTGTAACCAGTGATACAGGCGTAAATCGTTACCAGTTGTTGCTACAATTCTGCAATTGTTTTTGCAAAACAAATGATACAAATTAAATAAGAAACGAATGTGATAATTGGAACGATCATTGTTTTAACACGATAATTATCGATAGTAGTCTAACTGAAACAATCAGCAAAGTGAAAATTCACGGAATAACTATAACCAAATAAGAATCTCGGGTCTTACAGAATACATTCCTAAAGCCTATTTAAGTATATCGCGAATCAAGTACTCAATATATTGGTGATCGATAGAACCTTTTTACTACATTCTAAAGTATTGAGGTAACCTTGTAATGGATGACTTTTTTCAAGGATATAACAGGACTTTGAGGCTGGCATATCAGGTCATTATACAACGAACAAAACTTTTCGGATCGCGAATTGCATTAGTGTTTAAGTCTCTTATGGTGAAAGTAAACAGATGCTGAATAAGTGTTTTATTGAGTTATTATCCAAAATGAATACAGCAAACGCACCATTCACGACTTAATTTTCTCTGAGGTAATCATCTCTGCATCTCAAGTTTCTTCGTCCTCAATATCGTCCATCTCCATCTTGAACAACTCTAGTTGATCGTCCACAATCTTTCCATGTCGAATTCTCGGCGAAGATGGCTCAACAACCGGCTTCAACACCCTTCGTCCCTTTCCTTTCAGTTCTTCTTCACTGTCCTCCGATTCTGTAACAGTTCCAAGAAACGCGTCAGGATAACTTCGTCTTAAAGCCAATTTTCTTGCCCGCACATATTCCATTCCAACAATTTTCCAGTCAAACATGTCTGATAATCTCTCGGTACGATTTCGTTGAGATTGACGTTGGCGCGGTGTTTTTTGACAAAGGTGTAGCATAAAATCTGTGATTTGTTTGATAGCGTCGGTACGCGATTTGGATTGCCTATCGGCGATATATACACCATAATCGTTTGCATTCTCCCCAAAAGTCTCTTCTGCATAACATCCGAAACCCGATAAATTGCTCACAATTACTGGCACGCCCATGGCAATGCATTCCTCCGCTTTGAATCCCCACGGTTCGTAATAACTCGGAAACACCCCTAGATTGCACCCTCTTACAAACTCCTCGTATCCAATCCCAAACAGCAAATTAGCCGATGAAAGTAACTCGGGGTGGAAAATTATTTTTACTTTGTCATCATAATGATTGAGTAGTTTAAGTCGATGAAGATGATCCAAAATGGGATCCGTTGATGCATGCACTAAATTATGAGTGACGACAGGAGGAAGACCGGAACGATGTACAGTGTTTGCGAGACGTTTGAGGATGATTTTGTCTTCTTCAGTTAACAAGTCTGATGGATCTATTACTGTTGAAATATCATCCCTTTAGTGGAATGTAATAATAGTAAATGGAAATAAGACAAAATTCAATTAGAGAAGAAAAATCTCAAACCCAAATTCTAACAATAACCAATCTAATACAAATTCTCGATGGTTTTATTCGAAAACCTACCCGTTGAACCTTGCGGCCTTCTCAAACATTCTCTTTGCCACACGTTCTGTAATCTCTTTCACGCCTTCTTGAAGCTTTTTCGTAGCAGCCTGACCCTTTAAAGCGTCTACAGCGAGGCTGTGATACGGAGCCGGAAGCATCAGAAAACAGACAATAGTTATAGGAGAACTGCACGCTTTTAAGCGGGCATTCAATTCTGTGAAAGAATATATGATGGAATAGATACAGTTTGGAAGCGGTTCAGGTGGGAGAGGGTCAAGGTGAAGATAAAGTGAGACACCATAATTCAAAAGTCTCTAAACAACAGAATGCTCTAGAGAGCATATTAATTTCGTATTATCTCTTTGCTCTCTATACTACCATTTCTACTTTATTACGTATTGCCTCCCAAACAACTTACCCGATAAAGCTTCCAAAAAAATATCGACACCCTTATTCCTGAATTCATGCCGACCGGAGATAAAATAATACAACGTATTATCGAGATCAAACGAATAATAGTGATAGAAATGTCCTCTAACAAATGTGCGGATTCGGTCTTTATATCGTGCGTGAAGATCTTGGAATTCATGAATTGCTGAGAAATGTGAGATGTCAAGGCCATTTGGAAGGATACCATCTGAAAAGAAAAAATTGAAAAGAAAAAAAAAAAAAAGGAATGGGAACGAAAAGCAGAAACAAAGAATAAAAAAGTGAAAATCAAGTTAGGGGAGATATGTCTTAATCTTCGACTGGCATCATTCGTTATAATGAATAATCCACAATCTTCCCACCAATCCTTTTCGGGGGGTGGATGCTCATTTTTTTATTTACCCGGCTTCCTCTGAATCAAATTTTCGGCTTCGAACGCAACGACCCAACTAACACACGTGAAAACATCTGCACAATGTGCAGCTGCACGTTCCACAGCATATCGATGATAGATTCCCAGTTTTCCCGCTTCTTCATCTGGATTTATAAACTTGAGGATTGTATGAGGTGGAGCGTACGATGCGGCGTCGTCCAAACTGGATTTGGCGTTGGCATTGGCGTTGGCATTAACATTGTTGATAGAATTTCCATGTTTCACATGAAAGTTATTGTAATTGCCATTTGAATGAGTATTATTATAGTTAATTTTTTTCCCCTTTGTATTATCCTTATTTTCCGTCGCAGATATTTCCATCACTCCGTTACCATGCTTGTTTTTTTCAATCTTTCTTCCCTCATCCCTCATCCCTATTTGCTTATCTTCTTGCCAACTCTTTTCACTAAAGAAATATCGCCCAAGCACCGTAGAGGTAATGTTATATATGGTTGTTACATCAATGTGACGCCCCCGAATCAAAGGAATCGCGACGCTCGATTGCCAGTCATAGAAGTGAGATATGATTGCAGTTGAGCATGATGTAGTTGAAAACTTTATATTATTAGGGAAAAACGAGGTAAGGATTAAAACACGCCTTGTGTCGTGAAAATTCGTAAGTTATATGTCAGCTGACCTCATCCAAAAATTTAGCAACTAAATTCCCAAACAATATCGCATCATTCATCTCTTCATCCATTTCTGGACATGGAATTTGTCCTATATTCCATAGATCTCCTTTCCATTCATCTAATTTACTCCTAACCGACTTGGTATCAAATAAAATCACGTTCGGCGCGCCTTCGACGAGCCATTTTCCGTGAATGAATTCGATGCCTGTGGAAGCAAGTGAAGACAGGACAGATTTTATTTCCGGGGAGGATGGCGAGCATGGTTCGATTTCGGCGATAATGGAGGAGGAGAGGGGAGGAGAAAAGGAAGAGGAGGGCAAAGGAGTAGGAGGGGAGGGCAAAGGGGTAGGAGAAGAGGAGGAAGAGGAGGAAGAGGAGGGCAAAGGGGTAGGAGGGGAGGAGGAGGAAGAGGAGGAATGCAAAGATATCAAATATGGTAAAGACTCTGTGGCACTGATGATGTAGTATCGTGACCCATACTCGTGGATCGTGACGGGTACTTTAGAGCGTATGACTGGATAGATTGCGCTGTCTTTTGGGGAGAGTATGTGAAGTTTGGTGATGAAAGGAGACGAAAAAGGTAGATTAATATAAGTATCGTGATGGGAGTCCTGAATTGGTGGATCGCTGTGATTTATTATATCGAACACTCATTCTCGTTCTATTAATTATGTATAAGATCATTTGATGTCTATTCGAAAGTTGGAAACTCTGAATTTCCTCACCTCTGTTAGATAACTCCCATGAAACTTCAAATAGCGTCTCATTATATACATCTCGTACTACCATCTTATGGAATGATAAAATTAGTTTATGAGCGAGGTTCCATTATATATATGTATCTATCTTTATGTGTGACGTAACACAAATAATAACTCATTATTAATATAAACTTTCCTGATCACCACGGGGTTCACATGCGCTTCAGTACTGGCGCTGCAAAGTAGCGCCAACTGACTTATTAAGATTTGTAAAATGGAATATGTATTTATAACTATATATATTTATTTATTATTTATTATTATGTATACGCTTAAGAGCCTTTTTAGTGCAAGAGCACCTTTAGCGTTCAATCGTAGGTGCAACTAATAAAGGAACGCAAAACTCCAGCTGACTTATTATTATTTGCAGTCACCAATTCATTACGTGATACAACAAAACTGTAGACTCATTCAGCTTATGACAATTTAAAACCTTAATTTTATGACGACTGGATAAATATGTTCTCCATTCTACTAGCATGGTAAAAATATTACGCAGGCTTTGGCTTATTAGCTATAAATAGTTAGTGACCGTGTGATTGTTAAATGGCGTGATGTTAGAAATTCTAGAAACAACTTCATATTATCAATAAATGCATTTTAGAATAGTTTATTTTTATTGCCAAACTAAGCACAGATTAGATGGATTGCGATTGATATGCTGGTACATTAAAAAAGCTCCATTCATGTACATGGGTGCCGTTTATGGAGAGTCAGAACCTTTATTTGCGTGTGATATCAATAAATGCTAATCTTAAAGTATAAGAGATAAATTGTTACATTAAACCAATATAAACTTACTCACGCGCATACACACGAAAGCCCCTGTCCAAACACACCTGCGGAATTTCCCCCGTAACGGCGGGGGTTTAGGAACACGTTAGAATATTATTGCTAATGCAAAAAGAAACGAACAAGTTCCCCCAACGGGAATGTGGCATTATCGGGCAATTTGTAAACTTACTTCTTCGAGTTATTCGGAGAATGCATCACTCAATATAATGTCAGACGAGTTAAGCTTACAAGAAAGCTCAACGGTAATGTGTCCGTTTTTATGATAATTCCGTTCAATTAAATCCTAGCATCGGTATTTAGTGGTAGGAAACGGATAACACGTTTGAAAACCTACGTCTTGGCAATTATCCAGCAACATGAAAACGCTGTCCTGTGTCTATCTCTTGTTAAATCCCTTAAGCCAGGCTTGAAAAGCGTTCCTATTGTTAGAACAGCTATATTGATCAAACCAATTGCTTTGTCAGAAATTTTGGTCCGGTTCTAGACCGTAGAAGACTAGTTCTACCCATGTAAATTCGTGATGCTTCCGTAAATGATGTTTTCGGGCCAACCATCGGAACTATTAAGCCATCTGCTAATAGGAAATTAAATAAATTCGGTTAGAATAGCTTAATAATAATAAGCCAGGAAAAAGTGCAAGTTCCGGAACCACTACAGACTTGCCATCGTTTTGTATTTGTTTGATTAATTTCTACCTTTTTTTGGTAAGACTCTTGATTCGCTCTTCGTAATTAATTACCGTTTTGATCGACATATGAAAGCAAAGTTTGCATCAGATGACGGTTGAAGTTAGAGAAAATATTGATCGAATGGCCAAAATATTATTGGACTTGAGCAATGTCTTTACGACCGTTCTATTAAGTGAACAAAGAAATTAAGAAAGATTCTGTTGATTTCTATATGGCAAGACTCTTGATGCACTTCTTAACTAATTACCGTTTTGATCGCATCAGATGGCTACTTTGTTAAAGTTAGAGAAATATTGATCGAATGGCCAAAGGTCATTTCGTATTCTTGGAGCTTGAGCCATGAATATGAGTGTCTTTACGGCCGTTCTATTACGTGAACAAGGAAATAGAGAAAGATTCAATTTTTGCCTTTTTTTAGTAAAACTATTTTTGATTGATTACCGTTTTAATCGTGCATATGAAGCAAAGTTCAACGGTTTGAGCATCAGATGACTACTTCGTCGAAGTTAGAGAGTGTTATAAAAATATTGATCGAATGACCAAAGGTAATTTCGTATTATTGGAGCTTTGATCAATGAATATAAATGTCTTTACGACCGTTCTATTAGGTGAACAAGGAAATCAAGAAAGGTTCGGTTAATTTCTACATTTGCCTCTTTTGACAAGACTCTTGATACACTTCTTCTTAATTAATTACCGTTTTGATCGCATCAGATGGCTACTTTGTTAAAGATAGAGAAACATTGATCGAATAGCCAAAGGTCACTTCGTATTCTTGGAGCTTGAGCCATGAATATGAGTGTCTTTACGGCCGTTCTATTACGTGAACAAGGAAATAGAGAAAGATTCAATTTTTGTCTTTTTTTAGTAAAACTATTTTTGATTGATTACCGTTTTAATCGTTGCATATGAAAGCAAAGTTCAACGTTTTGAGCATCAGATGACTATTTCGTCAAAGTTAGAGAAGTGGTAAAAATATTGATTGAATGGCCAAAGTAATTTCGTAAGCAATGAATATAAGTGTCTTTACTGCCGTTCTATTAAGTGAACAAGGGACTCTTGATACGCTTCTTTTTAATTAGCTACCGTTTGATCGAACAAAGTTCGACTACTTTGTTGAATATTAATCGAATGGCCAAAATAATATTGGACTTGAGCAATGAATAAATGTCTTTACGACCGTTCTATTAAGTGAACAAGGAAATTGAGAAAGATTCGGTTAATTTCTACATTTGCCTTTTTTTGGTAAGACTCTTGATACGCTTCTTTTGATCGATTACCGTTTTGATCATGTCAGATGGTTACTTTGTTGAAGTCAGAGAAATATTGTTCGAATGGCCAAGGCCATTTTATATTATTGGAGCTTGAGCCATGAATATGAGTTGTTCTATTAAGTGAACAAGAAAAATTCTGTTATTACTAATATACTAGGCAAACGCATATTTAATATTAATGTGGTGTGACAAATATGACGTAATGCGCTTATTTTGCCGCAGAATAATCTATGTCGCATGACTTTCGCCGTGTAACATATACGAGTGTAACATATATCCCACCACTGTAACTGACAGAGTGCTTGTTCGAGTTCTGGGTATGTAACCGATCTGTGTCTTTTTGCATTTGGAGCAATGATTTCTTTTTCAGAAAATAACTGGTTGCTTCTTTGCAAAATTCGTGTTATGGTAGACTCATTAACCCTGGCTTGCCATTTATTTTCGATCCAATTAACATACTCCGCACGAGATTTCTTATTATCACGAGCATACGGGCAAAGTTCGTATTTTTGCGAATCTGTCAAAGTTGTCTTACTTTTTGGCGGCATGATGAATTATTTTTATTAACGGTGAAATTTCAGTACAATCCTCTAACTAACAATTAGTTATAAACGATTTTTATGACTATGACCACGATGGCATGCTTAAATAGTGGCTAACTGTTACAATCGTAAATTATTACAGAATATGATATTTGTCCACTGTTGACTATTGATGTCTAAATAAATACATGACCTGATGTTAGCAGACAATGTTACTACAGAACTGTATTCTCACATCTCGAATATAACTTGATACCAGAAAATAGTTTGCTTGCGTAAAGTGGAATCGGATCCTCGATAAATTGTTATTGTCTTATGACCCGGGAATGGTAAAGTCTTTAACTCGCCGAATTTCATTGGTGGCGGACATTGACTGACTATACCATATTTAGCTGCTGGGTCACGTGCGTGACTTTACGGAGATTATTTCATATAGCCGGACCGCAAATATCCATTCCACGTGCAGAATATAGAGAGTGTGCATTTAGCATTGTGTCCCGAGGTTGGGACCATCAAATAGCGTGCATTTAGGGAGAGTGCATTTAGGGAGAGAGTTCACTGTATATTAATTATGTTAACGTTAATAGTTTCAATTTAACTCAATCTTGTTTATTAACCCTATTAACAAACATTGAGCCGAGTTTCCTTGCTTTTATTACAACTAAAATTTCCAGCACATGATACTCATGTGAGTTTACGCAAAAGAGCGGTCTTCTGGAGTAATTAAAATCTGTTGTGAATAAAAGTCCCTCGCGATAGTAATTAAAATCTGTCATCGAAAAATTATGCTACAAATAACTGGAGACAAGAAAACATTTGTTATCCTTTATCTAGCGTTTATAAATTTAAACCAAATTTCTATGTTGGGCAATAACATAAAAAAGTACACAGTCAGTCTCGATCGAAGATATACATTTAATTAAACCGTTTATTATATCCTTAATACACTTACATTAATATAATTACATCGCAAAATAATCTTGTCTTAGAGAATCGACTTGTTTACTGCTTTAATCGTATGATCTAATGCATGTTTAGGATTCTAATGGCATGACATATTTGTTATATCTGCGTTAGAAATTTAACACATCGTTGTACAGGTTGAAGGATCTAGGCTGTGCCACACATGCCGATCGAAATCCTTGCGTTACCATCGAAGCTTGCGCAGAAATCTAGGACTAAAATTCGTCCGTCACTTGTTGTTTGAATGTCGCTGGTTTCGTCACATAATAGCATAATTTCGGCAGATATAAAATCAAGATCTATGTACAATCCCCGTAAGCAAAGTATCATCAAAATTAGTACCATTCGCCATTATGGCGAGGTGGCCCATTGTTTCAACCGAGACATCATGTGTCTCTGGATTTTACTTTTGTAGGTAATCTTATTCTGAGCCAGTTAAATTTGATTTGATTTGAAATGCACAAAAAACCGTATTAATCATCAAGTAGACTTGTAGTACAAAAATTTGTGGTTTATTCTGGAATGTTCGAAAATTGCACAACGGCATATAAAATTTCTCCTTCTTAATCACATCACGTGAACAAAATATTTAATAGTTGTTAGTTATTTCTTCACTTGATAAAAAATGTCACAGAAAATAACAAGAACGTCTATCAGTGACTCGCTTAAAAAAGAGATTTGTATCTTCCATATATATAATAAGACTTTTAAACAAAACGAAAATTGACAATAAGAGTGATGAAAATTAAGTTATAAAGTAAAATA